TATATATATATATATATATCAGATCAACTGCAACTATACAGTATATATATATATATATATCATATATATACAGTATATATATATATCAGATCAACTGTAACTATACAGTATATATATATATATATATCTGTAGGTACTCAGGTATATATATATATATATATCAGATCAACTGCAACTATACAGTATATATATATATATATATATATAGATCAACTGCAACTATACAGTATATATATATATATATATCAGATCAACTGCAACTATACAGTATATATATATATATATATATCAGATCAACTGTAACTATACAGTATATATATATATCAGATCAACTGTAACTATACAGTATATATATATATATATATCAGATCAACTGTAACTATACAGTATATATATATATATAAATCAGATCAACTGTAACTATACAGTATATATATATATATATATATATATATATATATATATATATATATATATATAAATCAGATGGATTTAATCAGATGTAACTATACAGTATATATATAAATCAGATGGATCCTTTGACAATCAATACCTGGCAATGAGAACAATGATCCTGAGAGGGTCACGAACAACAGTAAACAAGAAGAGTGCGAATGGAGGACCGAACGCTATGAACGTACAGCCGAAGAATTCCATCAGCGTCATGGTGAAACAGGGAGGTAGAATGTCTGACAGTACAGGTATCTGAGTAAAATAAGCAAATAATTATTGTATTAGTTCTTTTTATGGGTAGAGGTTGTTAAAAATTTTCTTTCACATGGAAACAATGGCATACCTCATGTAACACTAAATCTATTTGTAATTCATTTATGATGCCAGTTTGTTCAGCATGAAATGTGCAATCAATTTGTAAACAAAATGAGATTCAAATATACAATATCTTATACATCATGTTTAATTTCTGTGAAGCATTTAATTGATACTATGAATCACCATACTCTGCTTTTATTGTCTTATGCCTCCTGACAGGCGAACATATACCAGGGCTAGGTACAAAAAACTCATTTCAGTTCCGCTTATCCAACTTTACTTTCCATATAGCTATACTATGACTCTACAATCTTCTGACAACCTAACACTTCCCTTACACATTTTGATTTGGTACAGGTTTTGACAGGGTTTTCTCAACGACTTTATTATTGAAACAGAGGTAATTTTTTATCTCAATGCCTCCGCCAGGAATCAAACCCTGAACCCCTGGATTACTAGTCTGACGCTCAACCGATCGCGCTAAAGAGAAGTTCTCTCTAGCCGAGTGGTATATTGCAGTTAGTATTTTACCAGGGTTACATTTTGTAGCAAAACCTAATTTTAAGTGAGTTTTGAATTTTTACTGATGTTAACACCAACAAATGCAAATGGGAAAAATACAATCTATTAGTGAACATAGCAAGTGATTAATGGTAGTATGTCTAGATATTAAAAAAAGTTAAAAAGCCAACACATATCCTTTCAAACATTCAGTCAAAAAATATTTAAAAAAGGTAAATAATTCAAAGAGGCCCACAGGTTTTCATCATCATCTGACTGTGAGAGAACAGGTTCTTCATTACTCATATTGTTATTACTAATATAGCAGTACCTAGTTGTTTTATATGTTATATGTTTGGTAGGGTAGAGCTTTTTTTCAGCGTATCCTTCCTGTTGGTTAGCTGCTACTAACATAGAGCTGTCTATTACTTTACAATGCCGTGTCACATGTGTACGGAATTTATCGGGTAGTTGTACCATGTGAGACAGGAAACGGAAGTGGCCACCGGAAGTTTGGTTTATTGCTTTCTTTGTTTACTATATATGGTTTGGCTAATCGTTGAGTAAAACTCATTAATGAGGTTAGGAGGGTGGAGGGGTATAAAAGAACTGGCTCCTGCAGGATGCAGTATCTTGATAGGTGAACCAATCTACTTCTCCTAGGGAGGATACTACAGTAGTGGTGCTGCTGAAAGTACCCAGTAGTGTGACATCAACTCACATATATAGAGTGCTATGGTAACCATAGGATGTGTATTACCAGGGGATAGTCAGGGCTTAGGGCTTATGCATCCATAGGAAATCTGTATACACTGGTTAGCTGTAGACCTATAGGGAGCTAGGAGCATGTGGTCTGCTGGTACTAATGTTAGGTAGCATAAGGTTACACACTTTTACATTGGGATACTGTACGGTAGTGGAGTTGTTTAGCGTAAGTTGCCAATAGTTTGCACTAATATTATGATCCTACATTGTTATGCCGGTGACTCCCATACCAAGGACGAAAGGCTATACAAGCAGGATCAGGAATAAAAAGAAGATCCAGCCAGCCTCTGCCTGCTCTGGACCTACTGTGTGCAAATGTGGTGTGTGTGTGTATTACCAGAGCACACCTGGTGGCCCACTATTACATATAAGGATCTATATGATAGCGATCCATAGATCTTCATGATCATTTGACTATAAGGATCTATAAATGGTAAATGTGCATGGGCTTTTATGATCATCTGACTCTATATGGACCTACTTGTACATATGATAAAGGTCCAGAGGCTTTCATGATCATCTGACTTTAAGCACTTATATATGGACCACAGGTATCAGATTCATCTGCCAATGGACAGAGGATGCCAGAATTTGTAGACCCCCTGTTCTTCATAAAAAAAAAAAAAAACAATTTCTAATTTTAGTCACTTCGTGCCCTCGTGACTCATCATAGTGACTTCATTTATGTTGAATTAATAGACCGCTAATTGTCTTTTTTTTACATCAACTAGTGTCAAATGATTTCCGACTACTCACAATCAATTTTTAAAGTGCGTCTGCCTTCCTCACATTTCTATTTTACAATATGTACTTGTCAACCGCGCGTCAGAAGTCGTCTTCTTCCTTTTGTCGTTGTTTCCCCTTTCAGACTCCCCGTGATGTGCCCCGTAAAAATTTTATATTTCATTATCCAACCTTAATCAAGGACATCATCGAAGAAATTTTGACGCAGTAAATTGTATACTAATTATCTCAAATTAATCATCACGAAGTTGTTTTAATCAATGTCGATATTTTAAATAATTTTATGAGAGAAAATAAAATAAGACACTGGTCTATAGATTATCACAAAATTTTGTCTTTAAAACGTTTGCTTTCGGTACAGCGCTAACGCAAATCAATGGGTTGAGGCATACAAGCGCCTTTCTGACGAGGATTAACTGTCAAAAGTGTTGCTGAAAGTTGTGAGTTGAGAGGGGAAGGAGTATCACGCGAAGATGTCTTACATGCCCGGTTTGTATAAAATCGATTAGCATTCTTACCCTCTTGGATTTTAATCAGTATTGTTAAATTCAAATGTGTGTCTCTTAATAGAGATTTTAAATTCAGAATACTGTGTTTACAGCACAGACATTATTGCTTTCAGTTTCAGTGATCATGACTCAACAGATCTAGATTATCTTGACCCCTGCTGACCAGTCTTCTCTGTTACAGTACTAAAACTCACTACTTATATACGTCCCACTTCTGCCAAAACGTGTTCCTTATCTGGACATCACCCAACGCCACAAGATTCATGTTTTGTTATTACTACCAGACAGATGTGCATAATTATTGAAATATGAATCACTAAGAGATGTTCCCCCTTCTCTTTTGTACTGATTTGTACAATGCGTATGCTATCAGAAGAAAGTTATTCAAAGGCAAATCTGGAACTGGATGAAATGACATGTATGGTTTTTGATATTTGTGAGAGATTTTATTTCATTATGCATTTGTAATAGGAAGGAGTAAAATTCACTCTGTCAGTACTGGGGTTCAAGCTAGCAACCCTTCAGTCTCTAGCCAGACACTCTACTGCTTGATTAAAGAGAAAACCTGTACTCTGAACATCTACACTACTCCCACCTGCAAAAGTCTTTGACCCTGAAGACAACAACAACCCATGTTCAGTATCCCCAAGGAAGCATCTCCTATAGCTTCTACACATCTGTACATACATGTATCCATAGTCCAAATTATTCTCACGTTCTACCAACTTGTTTATATTGGTCTGGAGTTGATAGAACTCTGAAAAAAACTTGAGACTATTTTATCTGTAGTCAATAAAGATCGACAACTATGATAAATACCCGTTAATTATAACAGTGAATACAAATCTTAGAGCAGTATTTAAGTCCATGGTTATACTGTTTAAATTGATACTTATTGACAGATATAAAATTTCTTATCCATACACTGATCCAATCAGATTATAGTCACATAATAGTAGGCCCACAAATTTAACAACTATATGTATAACTTATTTTAAGTCTGAGACCTTTTTGATCGCTATATAGTTGCATTATGTTTTTTTCCTTGTTTTTATTTTAGGGCGTCTAGTAAAGTCTGGTCTAGAGCGGACATGTCCAACAGATGAAGCCCTAGCTTTTAGTTTATCTATACTTCATGCTCACTGTGAAGGATGTCATGACCGATACTGCAACATATCTCCTGATGGTAACAGCAGCTGTGAGGTCATTGAGTGCAGTCAGTCATGTGGACAGCGACTACATATGTGTAAAATTGAGGATCACAAGAATATCTGTTCTCTTGAGAAGGTAACTATGAATGCTGTAGTATCACAACTTGTTTATAACAATAAACATACATTCGGTGTTCACAGTGTACCAGTCACAATTTGTACACTATATATGTTTGGTGTTTACAGTGTACCAGTCACAATTTGTACACTATATATGTTTGGTGTTTATGGTGTACCAGTCACAATTTGTACACTATATATATTTGGTGTTCACAGTGTACCAGTCACAATTTGTACACTATATATGTTTGGTGTTTATGGTGTACCGGTCACAATTTGTATGTTTGGTGTTTATGGTGTACTGGTCACAATTTGTACACTATATATGTTTGGTGTTCACAGTGTACCAGTCACAATTTGTACACGATATATGGCTGGTGTTTATAGTGTACCAGTCACAATTTGTACACTGTATATATCTGGTGTTGATGGTGTATCAGTGACAATTTGTACACTACATATGTTTGGTGTTCACAGTGTATCAGTCACAATTTGTACACTAATATATGTCTGGTGTTCATGGTGTACCGATCACAATTTGTACACTATATATGTTTGGTGTTCACAGTGTACCAGTCACATTTGTACACTATATATGTCTGGTGTTACCAGGTCACATGGTGTACCGGTCACAAATTGGACACTATATATGTTTGGTGTTTATGGTGTATCAGTCACAATTTGTACACTATATATGTTTGGTGTTTATGGTGTACTGGTGTACACTATATATGTTTGGTGTTTATGGTGTACCGGTCACAATTTGTATGTTTGGTGTTTATGGTGTACCAATCACAATTTGTACACTATATATGTTTGGTGTTTATGGTATACTGGTTACAATTTGTACACTATATATATCTGGTGTTTATGGTGTACCGGTCACAATTTGTACACTATATATGTTTGGTGCTCACAGTGTATCAGCCACACTTTGTACACTATATATGTTTGGTGTTTATGGTGTACCAGTCACAATTTGTACACTATATATGTTTGGTGTTTATGGTGTACCAATCACAATTTGTACACTATATATGTTTGGTGTTTATGGTGTACTGGTGACAATTTGTACACTATATATGTTTGGTGTTTATGGTGTACCAGTCACAATTTGTACACTATATATGTTTGGTGTTTATGGTGTACTGGTCACAATTTGTACACTATATATGTTTGGTGTTTATGGTGTACCAGTCACAATTTGTACACTATATATGTTTGGTGTTCACAGTGTATCAGTCACAATTTGTACACAAATATATGTCGGTGTTTATGGTGTACTGGTCACAATTTGTACACTATATATGTCTGGTGTTTATGGTGTACCGATCACAATTTGTACACTATATATGTATGGTGTTTACAGTGTATCAGTCACAATTTGTACACTATATATATAGTTTATGGTGTTCACAGTGTAACAGTTTGGTGTTCACAGTGTACCGGTCACAATTTGTACACTATATATGTTTGGTGTTTATGGTGTACTGGTCACAATTTGTACACTATATATGTTTGGTGTTTATGTTGTTCCAGTCACAATTTGTACACTATATATGTCTGGTGTTTATGTTGTAACAGTCACAATTTGTACACTATATATGTCTGGTGTTTACAGTGTATCAGCCACACTTTGTACACATATATGTGTGTACACTATATATATGTCGGTGTTTATGGTGTATCAGTCACAATTTGTACACTATATATGTTTGGTGTTTATGGTGTACCAGTCACAATTTGTACACTATATATGTTTGGTGTTTATGGTGTACTAGTCACAATTTGAACACTATATATGTTTGGTGTTTTGGTGTACTGGTCACAATTTGTACACTATATATATATAGTCACAATTTGTACACAATTTTGTACACTATATATGTCTGGTGTTTATGGTGTACTGGTCACAATTTGTACATATATATATTTGGTGTTTATGGTGTACCAGGTCACAATTTGTACACTATATATGTCTGTTGTTTATGGTGTACCGGTCACAAATTGTACACTATATATGTTTGGTGTTTATGGTGTACCAGTCACAATTCGTACACTATATATGTTTGGTGTTTATGGTGTACCAGTCACAATTTGTACACTATATATGTTTGGTGTTTATGGTGTACTGGTCACAATTTGTACACTATATATGTTTGGTGTTTATGGTGTACTGGTCACAATTTGTACACTATATATGTTTGGTGTTTATGGTGTACCAGTCACAATTTGTACACTATATATGTTTGGTGTTTATGGTGTACTGGTCACAATTTGTACACTATATATGTTTGGTGTTTATGGTGTACCAATCACAATTTGTACACTATATATGTTTGGTGTTCACAGTGTACCAGTCACATTTGTACACTATATATGTCTGGTGTTTATGGTGTATGTTTGGTGTTGACCTGGTCACAATTTGTACACTATATATGTTTGGTGTTTATGGTGTACCAGTCACAATTTGTACACTATATATGTTTGGTGTTTATGGTGTACTGGTCACAATTTGTACACTATATATGTTTGGTGTTTATGGTGTACCAATCACAATTTGTACACTATATATGTCTGGTGTTTATGGTGTACTGGTCAAAATTTGTACACTATATATGTATAGTGTTCACAGTGTATCAGTCACAATTTGTACACTAATATATGTCTGGTGTTCATGGTGTACCGATCACAATTTGTACACTATATATGTTTGGTGTTCACAGTGTACCAGTCACATTTGTACACTATATATGTCTGGTGTTTATGGTGTACCAGTCACAGTTTGTACACTATATATATCTGGTGTTGATGGTGTACCGGTCCCAATTTGTACACTATATATGTTTGGTGTGTATGGTGTACTGGTTACAATTTGTACACTATATATATCTGGTGTTTATGGTGTACCGGTCACAATTTGTACACTATCTATGTTTGGTGTTTATGGTGTACCAGCCACAATTTGTACACTATATATGTCTGGTGTTTATGGTGTACCGGTCACAATTTGCACACTATATATGTTTGGTGTTTATGGTGTACTGGTCTGGTGTTTATGGTGTACCGGTCACAATTTGCACACTATATATGTTTGGTGTTTATGGTGTACTGGTCACAATTTGTACACTATATATGTCTGGTGTTTATGGTGTACCGATCACAATTTGTACACTATATATGTATGGTGTTCACAGTGTATCAGTCACAATTTGTACACTAATATATGTTTGGTGTTCACAGTGTACCAGTCACAATTTGTACACTATATATGTTTGGTGTTTATGGTGTACTGGTCACAATTTGTACACTATATATGTTTGGTGTTTATGGTGTACCGGTCACAATTTGTACACTATATATGTTTGGTGCTCACAGTGTATCAGCCACACTTTGTACACTATATATGTCTATTGTTCACAGTGTATCAGTCACAATTTGTACACTAATATATGTCGGTGTTTATGGTGTACCAATCACAATTTGTACACTATATATGTTTGGTGTTCACAGTGTACCAGTCACATTTGTACACTATATATGTCTGGTGTTTATGGTGTACTGGTCACAATTTGTACACTATATATATATATGGTGTTTACAGTGTATCAGTCACAATTTGTACACTATACATGTTTGGTGTTGATAGGGTACCAGTCACAATTTGTACACTATATATGTATGGTGTTCACAGTGTATCAATCACAATTTGTACACTATATATGTCTGGTATTGATGGTGTACTGGTCACAATTTGTACACTATATATATCTGGTGTTGATGGTGTACCGGTCACAATTTGTACACTATATATGTTTGGTGTTTATGGTGTACCAGTCACAATTTGTACACTATATATGTTTGGTGTTTATGGTGTACCAGTCACAATTTGTACACTATATATATTTGGTGTTTATGGTGTACCAGTCACAATTTGTACACTATATATGTCTGGTGTTTATGGTGTACCGGTCACAATTTGTACACTATATATGTTTGGTGTTTATGGTGTACTGGTTACAATTTGTACACTATATATATCTGGTGTTTATGGTGTACTGGTCACAATTTGCACACTATATATGTTTGGTGTTGATGGTGTACTGGTCACAATTTGTACACTATATATGTCTGGTGTTTATGGTGTACCGATCACAATTTGTACACTATATATGTATGGTGTTCACAGTGTATCAGTCACAATTTGTACACTAATATATGTTTGGTGTTTAGGGTGTACCAGTCACAATTTGTACACTATATATGTTTGGTGTTTATGGTGTACCAATCACAATTTGTACACTATATATGTTTGGTGTTTATGGTGTACCGGTCACAATTTGTACAATATATATGTTTGGTGCTCACAGTGTATCAGCCACACTTTGTACACTATATATGTCTATTGTTCACAGTGTATCAGTCACAATTTGTACACTAATATATGTCTGGTGTTTATGGTGTACCAATCACAATTTGTACACTATATATGTTTGGTGTTCACAGTGTACCAGTCACATTTGTACACTATATATGTCTGGTGTTTATGGTGTACCAGTCACAATTTGTACACTATATATGTCTGGTGTTTATGGTGTACCAGTCACACTTTGTACACTATATATGTCTGGTGTTTATGGTGTACTGGTCACAATTTGTACACTATATATGTATGGTATTGATGGTGTACTGGTCACAATTTGTAAACTATATATATCTGGTGTTTATGGTGTACCGGTCACAATTTGTACACTATATATGTTTGGTGTTTATGGTGTACTGGTCACAATTTGTACACTATATATCTTTGGTGTTGATGTTGTACCAGTCACAATTTGTACACTATATATATTTGGTGTTCACGGTGTACCAGTCACAATTTGTACACTATATATGACCGGTGTTGATGGTGTACCAGTCACAATTTGTACACTATATATATTTGGTGTTCAAAATGTACTGGTCACAATTTGTACACTATATATGTTTGGTGTTCATGGTGTACCAGTCACAATTTGTACACTATATATGTTTGGTGTTCATGGTTTACCGGTCACAATTTGTACACTATATATGTCTGGTGTTTATGGTGTACTAGTCCCAATTTGTACACTATATATGTCTGGTGTTTACAGTGTATCAGTCACAATTTGTACACTATATATGTTTGGTGTTCAAAGTGTACGTGTCACAATTTGTACACTATATATGTTTGGTGTTTATGGTGTACCGGTCACAATTTGTATGTTTGGTGTTTATGGTGTACCAATCACAATTTGTACACTATATATGTTTGGTGTTTATGGTGTACCGGTCACAATTTGTATGTTTGGTGTTTATGGTGTACCAATCACAATTTGTACACTATATATGTTTGGTGTTTATGGTGTATCAGTCACAATTTGTACACTATATATGTTTGGTGTTCAAAGTGTACAGCCACAATTTGTATATATATGTCTGGTGTTCACAGTGTATCAGTCACAATTTGTACACTAATATATGTCTGGTGTTTATGGTGTACCAATCACAATTTGTACACTATATATGTTTGGTGTTCACACTGTACCAGTCACATTTGTACACTATATATGTCTGGTGTTTATGGTGTACCAGTCACAATTTGTACACTATATATGTCTGGTGTTTATGGTGTACCAGTCACAATTTGTACACTATATATGTTTGGTGTTTATGGTGTACTGGTCACAATTTGTACACTATATTTATCTGGTGTCTATGGTGTACCAATCACAATTTGTACACTATATATGTTTGGTGTTCACAGTGTATCAGTCACAATTTGTACACTATATATGTTTGGTGTTTATGGTGTACCAATCACAATTTGTACACTATATATGTTTGGTGTTTATGGTGTACCAGTCACAATTTGTACACTATATATATTTGGTGTTCACAATGTACTGGTCACAATTTGTACACTATATATGTCTGGTGTTGATGGTGTAACGGTCACAATTTGTACACTATATATATTTGGTGTTCACAATGTACTGGTCACAATTTGTACACTATATATGTCTGTTGTTTATGGTGTACCGGTCACAAATTGTACACTATATATGTTTGGTGTTTATGGTGTACCAGTCACAATTTGTACACTATATATGTTTGGTGTTGATGGTGTACTGGTCACAATTTGTACACTATATATATTTGGTGTTCACAATGTACTGGTCACAATTTGTACACTATATATGTCTGTTTATGTGTACCGGTCACAATTTGTACACTATATATGTTTGGTGTTTACATGGTGTACCAGTCACAATTTGTACACTATATATGTTTGGTGTTCATGGTCTACCAGTCACATTTTGTATGTTTGGTGTTTATGGTGTACCAGTCACAATATATGTGTACACTATATATATGTTTGGTGTTTTTGTACACTATATATGTTTGGTGTTTATGGTGTACCAGTCACAATTTGTACACTATATATATTTGGTGTTCACGGTGTACCAGTCACAATTTGTACACTATATATGTTTGGTGTTCACAGTGTATCAGTCACAATTTGTACACTATATCTGTTTGGTGTTTATGGTGTACTGGTTACAATTTTTACACTATATATGTTTGGTGTTTATGGTGTACTGGTCACAATTTGTACACTATATATGTTTGGTGTTTATGGTGTACTGGTCACAATTTGTACACTATATATGTTTGGTGTTTATGGTGTACCAGTCACAATTTGTACACTATATATGTTTGGTGTTTATGGTGTACCAGTCACAATTTGTAGACGATATATGTTTGGTGTTCAAAGTGTACCAGCGTCACAATTTGTACACTATATATGTTTGGTGTTGATGGTGTACTGTTGACAATTTGTACACTATATATGTTTGGTGTTTATGGTGTACCAGTCACAATTTGTACACTATATATATTTGGTGTTGATGGTGTATCAGTGACAATTTGTACACTATATATGTTTGGTGTTTATGGTGTACTAGTCACAATTTGTACACTATATATGTTTGGTGTTTTGGTGTACTGGTCACAATTTGTACACTATATATGTTTGGTGTTGATGGTGTACTGGTGACAATTTGTACACTATATATGTTTGGTGTTTATGGTGTACCAGTCACAATTTGTACACTATATATGTTTGGTGTTTATGGATCTTTCTCAAATTTCATATCCAGTTTCCCCTTGGTCACTAGTTGCGCATTGTACCTTTTTTGGACTGATTCGAATTCAAGATGGCCGACAGGTGGCCATCTTGGATTTTGGAAGTAAAAGTTTGTTACCGCTATTTCTGGAAAATTACTGGATGGATCTTTCTCAAATTTCATATCCAGTTTCCCCTTGGTCACTAGTTGTGCATTGTCCCTTTTTTGGACTGATTCAAATTCAAGATGGCCGACAGGTGGCCATCTTGGATTTTGGATGTAAAAGTTTGTTACTGCTATTTCTTGGAAAGTACTGGATAGATCTTTCTCAAATTCCATATGCAGTTTCCACTTGGTCCCTAGTTGTGCATTGTACCTTTTTTGGACTGATTCGAATTCAAGATGGCCGACAGGTGGCCATCTTGGATATAAAGTTTGTTACTGCTATTTCTTGGAAAGTACTGGATGGATCTTTCTCAAATTTCATATGCAGGTTCCCCTTGGTCCCTAGTTGTGCATTGTACCTTTTTTGGACTGATTTGAAATCAAGGTGGCCCACAGGCAGCCATCTTGGATGTTGATAAAGTTTGTTACAGCACAAGCATATTGTCCATTATCCACCTGTAACTGACTGTGCATATCTAATAATACTTTGGGATCTTTTTCAAATGATATTTGCTAAAAGGTTGTCCATTATCTTAATAATACTAAAAATATCTTGTGCCATCATTGAGTACATTCAATGAAGACCAGTTCATGAACATTTACAACACCTGTAACAAACAAAAAAAATAAACAAATCTTCAAGAACTGAAAACAGATTCTCAAATGATGGGCGCCAAGATCCCTCTGGGATCTCTTGTTGTTGTACCAGTCACAATTTGTACACTATATATGTTTGGTGTTGATGGTGTACCAGTCACAATTTGTACACTATATATATCTGGTGTTTATGGTGTACCGGTCACAATTTGTACACTATATATGTTTGGTGTTTATGGTGTACCGGTCACAATTTGTACACTATATATTTCTGGTGTGTATGGTGTACCAGTCACAATTTGTACACTATATATGTTTGGTGTTTATGGTGTACCAGTCACAATTTGTACACTATATATATCTGGTGTTTATGGTGTACCGGTCACAATTTGTACAATATATATGTTTGGTGTGTATGGTGTACCAGTTACAATTTGTACACTATATATATCTGGTGTTTATGGTGTACCGGTCACAATTTGTACACTATATATGTTTGGTGTTTATGGTGTACCAATCACAATTTGTACACTATATATGTTTGGTGTTTATGGTGTACCGGTCACAATTTGTGGTGATGAAGTCCATGTTTAGTGTCATGTGCTTTGACAATATTGATTAACTCAGTAATCATTACTTTAGGAGTTCTATAGAATCTGTATTCAATTTTAGCAGTGATGAGGTAATCCTTTTTTAACTTGTTTCAAAGGTATTACAACATGCAGAGTTCTGCAACAGACTCAGAGACCAGGATTTTAGATTTTGTATATATTCCAGATGTGATAATAAAGTAATGCAAGTACTCAGTATATATGTTAACATTGGAATCCATGGAAGGAATGTGAATTGTGTGAATAACATTCAAAATATGACACATTTGACCCCACCACCCCAACCTTTCCTCCCCATTTTGATAAAGATTTGGACAGAACACATGCTATGTATATTTTATAATTTTCCTGATGTGTCTTTAGAAGTTAAAACCTATAAAGTCTCTAGAAACAAACAAGCAAAGAAAACAATTTTAAAAGGTTTAATTTTAATGCAATATCAGTTTTCCAATATAGATAAAGTTTTACCATATTATTTATACCCAGGAAATTTTGATATTGTTTGTATGATATTATCACTCTTGGGGTCAGATACATGAGAGGATAATTAAGAAAAGTTCTGTGAATAATCCTGGCAATATCAAAATGTTTAGGTCGAAGTGTTTTAATGTTTCAGGTGCCCTGTACTAATCACAGCTATGGCTGTCCGCTGGAGATGACCAGAAATAAGATAAATGCCCACATTCGAGTTTGTCCAGCAAGCGTGATGCGATGTGTGATTGAGTGGAATCGCTGGCCGATGCACTCAGCAGAGGAGAACATTAAAGCCCCCTTACCACTGGACAATCCACATGTACGATGTGGTCAGCTGGATGTAGCTTTGGCTCTCAGGGACCAGAGGATGTTGATGGAGTCCATGAAAGCCCCTCAAAGGATCAGAAAGGTCCTCCAGAATACAATAACTCAGCGATATCCGGGAGTCCCATTTGAAAATCGTAGTGGGTCCATAGACTCCGATTGCCCATCAGATACAGCCTCAGTGACAGTATCTGATGATGAGTTGGATGCCCCATGGGAAAATACACGATTTCCTCCAGGGCTTAAGATGAGTGTTTGTTCAAAACTCTATCGTGCAACTAAACATATATCAGAAAATTTAACCATGGCTTCAAATCCTGCATCATTGCTTGGACAAAAGCAGGAGCACCTGTCTGATATCCGAGAGGAACAGGACATCAAGCTAAACATCAATTCATATGATATTGATTCCAAAATCAAAGACAAAGTCGAATCAATGTCTATAGCATGCTCAGAATTTAATACCAGCTCTTCAACAACAGAAAATCCGGGAACTGAAGACAGTTGTTCTTGTGATAGAACTCTCAGCAGTTCAAGATATGATTCTAGCCTCTCATGCAATGCTAGTAGTATGGAATCTCTGGACATGATCAGTCAGGTTGGTGATAGTAAGTCTGATAGTGGTGACCAGCAGACAGTCAATGATCATTTTGTGGAACTGTACAAAAAAGATGTCAAACTTCATGAACTGTTAGGTGTGAGTCTCAATATCGAGTGTATATCCAAGTACATTTCTAAACACCCCAAAATGTACACCTTTCTCTGTGCTCAAGATTTCCGTCGTGAGGAATACACATGGCACTTCAAAAACGTACACAATGACATTCACTGTGGATTGAATGGCGTTGTGGAACAGCGTTGTCCGTTAGCCTACCTAGGATGTACATATTCTCATCAGAGACTTGTTCCAGGGGAGCCGAGAGGACAGATTGTACACAGCTCTCTGCTGGAGAGTTTTGGTTTGCTCACTTGCCAGGAGGAGGACAGTATGGAAGATGACACTATTATCCCCAGTAAAGCTTCCAACCCTGACCCTGCTCACTTAGACTCAAATAGTCATGTGACAGACATCTATGCTGAAGTTCCGAGACAACGACTAAGGGAAGCCACTCCAGAAATTGTTACCTCTCACAAGTTTGACTCTAGAATAAAAGTGTATCCACGATTCCGTAATCTCTCTGGGGGATACAGCTTTGTGACCAAGGCTCAGAAAGACGATGAAGAGTTGTCTCCCCTCCTTTGTTTACCAGTTGAAGTTTTAATACACCTGGTGACCTTCCTGGACAGCTTTAGTCTGTGTAATTTGTCTCTTACCTGTAAACTTTTCCGCAACATCACTTGTTCCATCCTCATCAATAAGGGTATGGTGATCCCTGTCTGGGAAAAGGTCAAATCCGGGTCAAAGGTTACTTGGCAGATCTCGCACAAGGTATGAGTTCAATTACAGTTATCCTCTTTGATCTAAAGATTAATTTCACAGTAAATTTTATAAGATTATTTAAGGCAAGTCCAGAACACCTTTTTTTCAAAATTTTGACAAGTCCCATCCCACATAGATATAGAGTGTCCTCAAAATTTGTGAATCCCACAGAAAATAAAAGAGGTGTCATCAATTAAAGAACTTGTGATTTTGTCACTGTATACGTAGTAACTTTTAAAATCAAGGTGACAATTTTAATGATCATGTCCACTGCTCCAAATTAAAGATTAAGCCATTTTAGATGAACATTTATATCAATGGAGTTCTGAGGAAATTGATATATATAGTATTTAGGATAAAATATATATATAGGACATTCTCAAGGACATTTTAGGATAACAACACTTTATTTTGTCAGTTTCCAATTATTAGCTATGAAAAAAAATATCTCTGGCATGATTTTATTGTCTTGTTTTACAGAAGTGGTCATTCAGTACAAGTTTCACACCAATACATAAGTGGCTGTACAGTAATTCAAGTCCTTTGTCTGAACATCTCAAGGTGTGTCCTTTTAATCGCCTTGAAGACAAGATCGTTTCCAAGGATATGTGGACCTACACTTCCAGCCTGGGAAAGGATGGATCTGACATAGCCATCATCAGTACCCTTCAACACCTGAAGCAGATGCATTCAGAAGTTAACCGTTTTGACAATTTTTGGGTTGATTGACACATCTGGAAACAAAAGTCTGTAATATGAAATCTAATACTTTGGCTTTGCGGATCAAAGCTTTCCATGCAGGTTAACTTTCATCTATTTTTCCCTTTTGTCAAATACAAAAAATAAAAAGAGGGTGAAATTTCAATGCTAAATTTATATACTTTTAAGAGAAAGGGTTTGGGGGGTGGGGGGAGTTAACACTTTTATACACTGATGGATGGAACAACCAGAGAGCTTGTTTTACTGTTTTTAGGTCACCTGATCTTGAGGGTCATGCTTCATACATTGTGCAAAAAATTGACATTTTTGACTTCCTCGTAATAAACTAATGGCCCAGAGTACTGATAATGTGCCTGTAGCATGCTGGGATTAAGGGCTACAAAGTTCATCAAAAATGAATGACCATGACCCACTTTCAAGGCCACAGAGGTCAAATGTGTTGAAATATTTATGCAACTTCTTCTCAATCACCAAAAGGCCCAGGGTGCTGATATTGGGTCAGTAGCATGCTGGGTTGAAGGGCTATCAGGTTTGTTCAAATGAATGGCCTTGACCTTCATTCAAGGTCACAGGGGCCTAATACACTAAACTACAACAAAGAGTATTATCACTTTGTTATCAAAGAGTGTTGAAAATTAAGCCTTCAAACTAAGAAACAACTTTAACTTTCTAAGTATGCATATATCAGTTCTGTTCTATCAGCCCCAATACTTAAAGTTCTTAAACTATCCAAAGACCTGAAGACCTCAGGTGATCGTTAACGCCCTTGAGCCTCTTGTTTTATATATATATATATATATATCTCTGAAGATTGGTGCTTTATTTAATGTCATGTTATTCTCAAACCAAGAGAAGTTGACACGTTGAAAAGTAAGAAAATGCAAGTATTATTAGTTGCTTGAAATCAAAATTGATGCAATAAATCTGAAATTTGTTTGGTTCTCTTCAACATCAGATAACCAAAGAGTTTCCATAAAGATGATTTTTATAAGAAATGTTGATTCAGCTTAAAGTTAGTTTTGTTCTGGACTTATAGACTGTCCTTAATATAAATATGGTATGAAAGACTACTTGTTATTGCTACTGATTGCTGTATAATGTGTTGTTGAGTTTGTGTTTTAAGACAGGACATAATTGCTCACTTGATTTATGTTACCTTGGATGAAGATCCGAGTTACAAATCTGTGGCAGTTTGTGTCTCTTGTGAAACTGAGAAACAGACCAATCTGAGCTATTATGGTTGATATAGTATAATATAGGACACTTTACCCTATTTAGTCAAGATGGCAGACCTCCTGTATGTTGTTCAGTGAGGTAGGCACCAGAAAATATCTATTTTTTCAAGATTTATGTGATACTTTTGATGGAAAAGGTTGAAATCTAGATGCTTTAAAATTGTAACATAATGATGATGATACATATTCAGTTTAATACTTGTAATTCATGTTTCAGGGGAGAAAAACCTTTTTAGATTTAAGTGTAAAAAATGTCTGGACGGATAATGGAGGATTTCATTCTACATGGATTAGTATGATAAGTAATTTGTCAATTTTTTAAAGACATACCTTTTCTTTATTGTAACATATGGTTGTAGGATTCAGAAGAAAAACAATACAACACTGATACGATGTTGAATGTCTGTACATCTTAGAGTACATTTGGAAATATTAACACATGATAAGCAAAAGAAAAGAGAGAAAAAACATACATTGTTGTATCAGTTGTGTAATTCTTAATGTTATTATGATGTCCCTGTCATTATATGGTGAAGCAATTATTGTTACACAGGTCCCTTCCATCCCAAACAATGTCATATCCTTAGAATCTGACAACTGATTTGGTTCAAATTTACCCTATAACATCTTGTTCTACACATAAACTGATTCTGGGTTTTGATAGAAGCTTGCAGAGGTATTCATGTTTGGTAGACTTTTTCTAATCGTTTTAAACTTGTTCTTGCTTTCTTTGAAATTTATTTTACTGCAAAGCAAAGTACGTTGTGAACTTCCTTGACTTAAAAATTTGAAGATGTCACTTCTTACTTATATTCTGAAACTTTTATAGTTACCTGTGTAAATAGTAATAGACAATAATCCACCTTGTTTAAAAACATGATAAATATTATGTTACAGAAATATCACATCCAAGTACAATATGCTGGTACGTTGTTGTAGTTATATGTCATCAGAACAAAGGTCTCCTTTAGTGAGATAAAACTCAGCAATATGTAGAGTTATGTAAACAAAAAAAAACAAATTAAAAAACAAGCACAACAATAACAGTGAATTGTTTTACATGGTAATATTTATTTTGCTAATTGCCTAAATCCAAGTGAATGAATATCTATGCATTCACTTATAGAACTTATATATCTATAGCAGTAAGCTTTCAAAAGTTTTGCCCGTATCATTGTAAAATTCAAATTGGACTTTTCCTATTTTACATATTGGACAGAGATACCTTGCTATGAATTTAAAACTATGAAAATAGAGAAAGTTGGATTTATCATTGTGTTTTTTTTCATCTTTTTCTGTGAACATAAAGAATACACGGTCAATGTCTTAAAATATAAGCTGTATTTATAAGGTGAAGAAAGACGAAAGTGGCGAGTCTCTGGTGAGCACCTGTTTTTTGTCTTCCTGTCTCGTGACAAAATACAGCTTATATTTTAAGACACTGACCATGTTTCTATTAATCCAGCAACATTGAATGAAAATCAGACAATCAAATCCTTAATAATTTTGTTGTCCAATCTTTGCTTACCCGATTTTAACGTTACACTGAATTTTACCTGATGATGTATGCCAAAATAATTGTTCCGTGCAGAGATATAATTCCAAACTGCAAGTGATTTTACAGCAATTTTATGAATTGTCGTAAATAAACTTTGTCATTACAATATATAAAATCGCTACTTTCAACAGTTACTAATATTGTTAAATTAAATTTTAAAGTAAATTCAGAAAGCAATTAATGCGAATTAAAGCACATGTTGAAATACAGCTGTTTTCTGTCATTGCCGAATCCAGTAAAAATATATGTGGAAAGTGTATTCTGACAACGGCAGAGCCAGTTGTAGGATAAATGTTTATATGTACTTATCATACCTTTCCTTTTCCACTTACACATGATTGAAAATTACAGTCCTGAATATGATTCTCAATGACTGTTTTTTTCACAATTCAGATTTGAAAACGTGCAAATTTATCTGTGTAATGTTGCAATATTATCAGAGCGTGTTCAACTGTTCAGATTTTGCGTATGGACAAATTGAAGAACAACACTTTGACAACAGTTCTAAATAAAGGTGAGAATATGACCCATGGTACCTTTACTGGAGAAGCACACTGAAATGTGTGAGATTGTGAAGTTTCATATTTATAGCAAGTAAAATACCAACAAATGTTAACAAACAACAGTGTGTATTTTGCATAAAATATATAGAGAGAATATAAAGTGTGTTTAAACATGATATTAACCAAAATGTTATATTAAGAGAAAATTTATCTTTGTATATTTATTGAGCTATATATAACTTATTGTAGAGGAAATCATCCCCAATTCTTAGTTTATCTACAATCTACATATATAATTATATATTTGAGCCAAGTGGAGACAGTGAAACAAGCTATTAGTTTTCAGATGTTTTTGAACCTGGATTTTAGATTTTGCAGAATATCAAGTTCTAGCTTAAGGAAAGTAAATTAATAGCAAATAAAATACTGGTTTCTTTATCCTTGTTCTATGAAGAAATATCATGTGTTTATGTGTACTGATAGTTTGAGAAATATGATGGATTTTGCTGACCATGCATGCCTTGTGTTTGCCAGTTTGTTGTGGATGTTCAATGGTTTCTGCTGGTCAGTTGCCTGATTGTTGTAATTTATGTTAAAACCTATGCAAAGAAGTTCAGTGTCTTAAGTTTCATTCATAATGGTAGAAAATCGTTATAAATTTAAATATCCATTGACCACTTATGTCACGTTTAGTAGTTTTTATTTCATATCAATAACCTCATTTGTACACTATATATGTCTGGTGTTCACAGTGTACCAGTCACAATTTGTACACTATATATGTCTGGTGTTCACAGTGTACCAGTCAAAATTTGTACACTTTATATGTCTGGTGTTTATGTTGTACCAGTCACAATTTGTACACTATATATGTCTGGTGTTCACAGTGTACCAGTCAAAATTTGTACACTATATATGTCTGGTGTTTATGTTGTACCAGTCAAAATTTGTACACTATATATGTTTGGTGTTCACAGTGTACCAGTCACAATTTGTACACTATATATGTCTGGTGTTCACAGTGTACCAGTCAAAATTTGTACACTATATATGTCTGGTGTTCACAGTGTACCAGTCACAATTTGTACACTATATAAGTTTGGTGTTTATGTTGTACCGGTCACAATTTGTACACTATATATGTCTGGTGTTTGTGGTGTACCGGTCACAATTTGTACACTATATATGTCTGGTGTTCACAATATTCCAGTCACAATTTGTACACTATATATGTGTGGTGTTTATGTTGTACCAGTCACAATTTGTACACTATATATGTCTGGTGTTCACAGTGTACCAGTCACAATTTGTGCACTATATATGTCTGGTGTTCACAGTGTACCAGTCACAATTTGTACACTATATATGTCTGGTGTTTATGGTGTACCAGTCACAATTTGTACACTATATATGTTTGGTGTTTATGGTGTACCGGTCACAATTTGTACACTATATATGTTTGGTGTTTATGGTGTACCGGTCACAATTTGTACACTATATATGTTTGGTGTTTATGGTGTACCAGTCACAATTTGTACACTATATATGTTTGGTGTTTATGGTGTACCAGTCACAATTTGTACACTATATATATATGGTGTTTATGGTGTACCAGTCACAATTTGTACACTAACAAAGCAAGTATCAACCGCAACAAGCGCAGGATAAGTTGGTAGTGAGTTTAATTCGTCTGCTTCATCAGGACAGCGAATGTAAGAATGTATCTACACAAGTTAAAACACCACTTGTCTGGTGGAGATATATAGATGACATTTTCTTCATATGGACACATTCAAGAGAGGAACTTACCTCCTTTAGTGAAGTCATGAACTCTTTTGACCCAACGATTAAGTTTACCTTGGATATCGGCGATAACGAGGTTAACTTCCTAGACACCACTATCTATAATGAACTGTGCTAATTATAACCGTTATGGACACTATATATGATAGCGCTCGTGACTCTTATTATTACGTCACAATATAACCGTGCCCACACTTTTAGTACTTCAGGGGTAATTTTCTTACATTCACTGTCCTGATGAAGCCCACATAGCTCGGGCGAAACCGGTCAACCAGACAAATTAAACTTACTACCAACTTATCCTGCGCTTGTTGTGGTTGATACTTGCTTTGTTTGTCTCTATTCCTCAATCGCCCTGCATACCGGATGGTATCCAAGCAAGGGATATCAGGAACAACCTACCCACATCTAAAAACACGGCGTTGGCTCTAACCCATGGAGTTATTGAGAATTTGTACACTATATATGTCTGGTGTTCACAGTGTACCAGTCACAATTTGTACACTATATATGTTTGATGTTGATGGTGTACTGGTCACAATTTGTACACTATATATGTTTGATGTTGATGGTGTACCGGTCACAATTTGTACACTATATATGTCTGGTGTTTATGCTGTACCAGTCACAATTTGTACACTATTTATGTATGGTGTTCACAGTGTATCAGTCACAATTTGTACACTATATATGTCTGGTGTTGATGGTGTACTGGTCACAATTTGTATACTATATATGTCTGGTGTTTATGGTGTACTGGTTACAATTTGTACACTATATATATCTGGTGTTTATGGTGTACCGGTCACAATTTGTATACTATATATGTTTGGTGTTTATGGTGTACCGGTCACAATTTGTACACTATATATGTCTGTTGTTTATGGTGTACCATTCACAATTTGTACACTATATATGTTTGGTGTTCATGGTGTACCAGTCACAATTTGTACACTATATATATTTGGTGTTGATGGTGTACTGGTCACAATTTGTACACTATATATGTTTGGTGTTCATGGTGTACTGGTCACAATTTGTACACTATATATGTTTGGTGTTCACAGTGTACCAGTCACAATTTGTACACTATATATATTTGGTGTTTATGGTGTACCGATCACAATTTGTACACTATATATGTTTGGTGTTGACTGTGTACCGGTCACAATTTGTACACTATATATGTTTGGTGTTTATGGTGTACCGGTCACAATTTGTACACTATATATGTCTGGTGTTTATGGTGTACCGGTCACAATTTGTACATCATATATATGTCTGGTTTTTATGTTGTACTGGTCACAGACCTATAGGAAAACAAACATACAAAGATATTGCAACACATGCCCACAACCAGCATACACAACATATAATACTGTAATGAGTTATAAAGTTGGTTATGTTTGATATTAACTTGAAAAAAGAAAAGTACACAAGTAATTTAAAACTGATTTGATGAAAAATACTGTAAATAAATGTGACGATCTGCCAATACACCACAAATTGAATGAAACCGCTAGAACGTTAATAACGATTTTCAAATGAGAGTAATGTTGGCCTTGACCTTTACCCAACAACCCTGAAACTCGATCTTGTTTGATCAAAATCCAATAAGCAATGGCGCCTGGAGCCTTGAGTAAGATTTTCTAAAAATAGTAACAGTGACCACATCCTTACATCTCTAAAATTCAAACGTGTTCTACGTATTTTGATGCCTCTGAGTGTCCGAAATTTGATGAGAATCCCTCAAGGGAGGATAGCCGCACGAGCGCCGTCAACAATTATCTGAAAAAAATTGTAACGATGACATTGATCTTGACCCAACATTGTTGAAGCTCGAACTTGTCCACATAAAGGAAGGTGGCGAAAATCCAGTTTCACAAGTTCAATACTGTGTATATCCACCTGTCGCAATTCATGCATGTCACACATCTACATAGAACTGATCACACTCCAGGAATGATCTGCCATAAACCTGACAAAGTACGACGTAATGCGTCCAACGTGACCAGAGGATTTGTCTTCTGGTGCAGACGTCACCACATTAATCCCAAATATCCGCGCTTGGAGTCATTCTGCTACTATATATAACTATGCTGCAAAAACAGGTGAAGTATGATGATGTTTGTTGTCGTGCTACAGATAAAGACGACAACAAAACAACAATTACATTAGCTATAACGGATAAATAAAAGAACTTCATGACGTTTTATTTCGTTAAGAAAGCGCCCATTAACCAGTTGCCCTACACAATAACCGAAGGAGCCTTCCCATGCAAAACTGACGGCCGTCACTACAACATTCTCCTCTAACGGTACACTGAACACGACCGTCTCTGTAACATTCTGACGGCTGACTGTACACCGAACACGACCGTTACTGTAACCTTCTAACGGCTGACGGAACACCGAACACCACCGTCTCTTTAACATTCTGACGGCTGACGGCACACCGAACACCACCGTCTCTGTAACATTCTGACGGCTGACTGTACACCGAACACGACCGTTACTGTAACCTTCTAACGGCTGACGGAACACCGAACACCACCGTCTCTGTAACATTCCGACGGCTGACTGTACACCGAACACGACCGTCACTGTAACCTTCTAACGGCTGACGGCACACCGAACACGACCGTCACAGTAACATTCTGACGGCTGACTGTACACCGAACACGACCGTCACTGTAACCTTCTAACGGCTGACGGCACACCGAACACCACCGTCTATGTAACATTCTGACGGCTGAGGGTACACCGAACACGTCCGTCTCTGTAACATTCTAACGGCTGACGGCACACCGAACACCACCGTCTATGTAACATTCTGACGGCTGACGGCACACCGAACACCACCGTCTCTGTAACATTCTGACGGCTGACTGTACACCGAACACGACCGTTACTGTAACCTTCTAACGGCTGACGGAACACCGAACACCACCGTCTCTGTAACATTCCGACGGCTGACTGTACACCGAACACGTCCGTCTCTGTAACATTCTAACGGCTGACGGCACACCGAACACCACCGTCTCTGTAACATTCTAACGGCTGACGGCACACCGATCACGACCGTCACAGTAACCTTCTAACGGTTGACGGCACACCGATCACGACCGTCACTGTAACCTTCTAACGGATGACGGTACACCGAACACGACTGTCACTGTAACCTTCTAAAGGCTGACGGCACACCGAACACGACCGTCTCTGTAACATTCTCACGGCGGACTGTACACCGAACACGACCGTCTCTGTAACATTCTGACGGCGGACTGTACACCGAACACGACCGTCTCTGTAACATTCTGACGGCTGACGGTACACCGAACACGACCGTCTCTGTAACATTCTCCCCTGACGGTACACCGAACACCACCGTCACTATAACCTTCTTACGGCTGACTGTACACCGAACATGACCGTCAATGTAACCTTCTGACAGCTGACGGTACACTGAACACGACCGTCAATGTAACCTTCTAAAGGCTGACGGCACACCGAACACGACCGTCACTATAACCTTCTTACGGCTGACGGCACACCGAACACGACCGTCACTGTAACCTTCTAACGGCTGACGGCACACCGAACACGACCGTCACAGTAACCTTCTAACGACTGATTGTACACCGAACACGACCGTCAATGTAACCTTCTAACGGCTGACGGTGCACCGAACACGACCGTCACTGTAACCTTCTAAAGGCTGACGGCACACCGAACACGACCGTATCTGTAACATTCAGACGGCGGACAGTACACCGAACACGACCGTCTCTCTAACATTCTGACGGCTGACGGCACACCGAACACCACCGTCTCTGTAACATTCTGACGGCGGACTGTACACCGAACACGACCGTCACT